CACACACACACACACGCACACGTGCACTCAGGCACGCACACACGCACACACACACACACACAAACACACAAAAACACACAAAAACACACAAAAACACACACACACATGTGCATAAGCGTACATGCACTCTCAAACGCGATGTCACTTGCAAATACTGTACTCGGGTTTCCATATGTGAGATCATTAACAGCTCATCCACACCCAATCTCAACACACATCCGCACATATCAGCACACGTCGGCACACATTGGCACACATCCGAATCACCCGACATGCACACGCCCAATCCCCCCTCCCCCCCTGCCAGGGAGTTTGATGACTATTCCAGTGAGGATCTCTTCTTCATAATGCGCGCCGCAGCAAAGAAGAGGTGGGCCGCCGCTTTGATGCAGGGATATGCAAGCAGCATGACGAACAGTCGCACGTGCAATCAAGCAAGACAGAACGGGAGCGTGCTGGGGTCTGCACTTTCGCCAGCCGCTCCCTACCGTGCAGCCTCGGCAGCCGGTGGAAGGATGACAGTGCGCAGCCGTCCTGCTCCCTCCTGCTGCATAGCAGCAATGCAGCGCCGCAGGCGGGCCGAACGACGTTCGGCCCATGCTGAACTCTCACTCCACGCTGCTTGTTTAGAACAATCCCCATGCACCCCGCTCCCTTCTCCCAAACCCACCCAAACCAGGTACGGCTGGGACCTCGGACACAACGAGCTCAAGGCCGGCCTGGCGGCCCTGGAGGTGGAGCGCCGCCGCCCAAACTTCGGCAATGCCGGCGCCGTCAACAACCTCCTCGCCGCCGCCGCGCTGCGCATGGAGGCGCGCACCAAGTCTCTCCCGCCGGCGGCCCGCGCCGACGCCACTCCCGTTCCGGCGGACTTTGGGGAAGAGCACGAGGGCGCGTCTGACCCAGGGGCGCTGCTTGATGATTTGGTGGGCTGCGCCGCGGTGCGGACCAAGGTGCGGCAGTGGCAAGCCACGATCATGGCGGCGCAGAGGCTGGGGCGGGACCCGCTGGAGAGCTTTGAGCTGAACTTCCTGTTCACCGGGTCCCCAGGTGAGCAGGCCGTGGGGGAAGGGGAGGGGAGGGG